TATACCTCAAGCAGTTACTTCAGACCATGTTATATCCCAAGCAGTTACTTCAACTTTCTCTATACTCCTAGCAATTACTTAAACTCTCATTATATTCCAAGCAGTTACTTCAGCTCTTGCTATACCCCAAGCAGTTACTTAAGCTCTTCTTATATCCCAGGCAGTTACTTCAGCTCTTGTGATATCCAAAGCAGTACTTTCAGATTTTGTTACATCCCAAGTAGTAACTTCAACTCTTGCTATACCCCAAGCAGTTATTTCAACTCTTGCTATATCCCAAGCAGGTTCTTCAACTCTTGCTGTATCCCAAGCAGTTACTTCGGCTCTTGCTATATCACAAGCAGTTACTTAAACTCTTGATATATCCCAAGCAGTTACTTTCCAGGCAGTTGTACTTTAAAGTGTAATCAGATGATCAGGGTAAGAGATGTTGAGAAAAGTTCACGAGTAACCTATAAACTAGTAAGTTGCTTGCAACAAATTAATTTAGTTCTTCTAATGGGATGTTATTGAGATCCCTGAATGATTCGTTTCCATGTAATGTTATAATCAAAACTCTCTTGATCAGATATCCATTCACAAAGTCACACACAATGAAACACAAGCTTGTCTTTAAAATTACCTTTATTCTCATGTACAGTCTATAAGATACATTTTTTGCCTAACATCCATTCAGTCATGCAAATTGAAACCAACAGACTGCAGAGTGGTATATATAATATTCTTATCAGACATCCAGTTTAAATACACAAGTTTTGATTGAATTCACTCTTCACATTTGTAACTGCTACAATGCAATGGTATGATTTATTCTAGTTCTAGTGCTTTGCTTTCTTGTAATGAAAAATATTTTCTGCTACGTGTTGTTGCAGTTATCATTTAATAATTAACTTTTGCCCATCTCTCTAGCGTAGTTGGCTAAACCGGATTGCGCGGTCAGCGGGTGACGAACTCCTTTGTGGTCCGGGTTCGCTCCCGGGGGTGGGCAGAAAGCCACATTTCTCCCAGATTTACGGTATTTAAAATGGAATCAAGGCCGAAAGGTTGCGATATCCATAATACAGAGCCTAAGGGTTAACAACTCATGGCTTCTGGATACTAAAACAAACAAACAAACAAACAATAATTAACTTTTCTACTTGTTATATGACAAAGTTATTATGTTAAATTTTGTCGTTCGCAGATGCCTAAAACTATACTTACTTCCAGTTGTGACACCATCCCCGCTACTGTTGATGTATTAGATTCCTGCAGTAACCACTCCTTAAAAAGTATAATTAAATCTCACTGGTTCTATCTGTTCCTTGCAGTGTCTATGTGGCCTAGACATGAAAATATTTACTAAAAATATCATTGGCGTATGGAGGGGATGGTGGGGGTGAGGCGTCTTGTGAATCACATAGCTTTTTAAAAGTCACTGTGACTGTTTAAGGAATTTTTGGGTCAACTGCCATGTATCCATGTCTCATTTTCTTATTTAGTTTTCCCAGAGCTAAAGGGTTAACCTGTTCATTACCAGACATCTTATTTACTGACATGCCCAAAGAAAGTATATACACTCATGACTTTATTCTCTACCAGACAGGTATCACAGTAGCTCATTGTATGTGACTTGTTAGTTTAGATCTTTCTTCCCATCATGTTCTTATTTTGACTACTTCAGTCTCAAACATGAGCTGCTCCTATGCAAAACATCATAGCCTAGAAACATTAAGTATTTACTGACTTTGACCTTGGCTCCCATGTCGACCCAACTTCAAATTGGTACCAGGCATAGTCATGGAAAGTAAAGGCGGTGGGTATGATGTTGACTATATCACCCACTGAGTGCCAATTGGTCTGTAATATATAACTAGCATTATATCTCCAGTACTCAAGTTGATAATCAGATAACGAAGGAGATGATTGCATATTGTGAACATGGATATCTCAGCCTTTGTTTAGGTAACTAAAAGCTATGGTATTCATGTTCAGTTGTCACATTTCAGATAAAACATTTATTATAAACTTTAGCTGCTAGTGTAGTCCCAGGTGAAAATCCTAAAAAATATACTATACTGTTTCACTTGTAAGGAATGATAGCACTTGCTATATATTGGGCCATCCCCTTATGAGGTAGGGTTAACTCTTATTCCCCAGGAAATGAATTCTGCCACTCTTTTTATCAACAAGAAATTGCAGTTCTGTGGCAATTGTTAGCATTGGCATCTCTATCAAATGCCTTAGGTATCTAATGCATGTGCAGATGTCTGGAATTTACAAATTTTCAGATGAGATAGTGAAGTTTTCTTTTTCCCCGATACGTTGACAGAGAAGCTGAACCTCGACTACTACTACTCATTTTATCAAAATTTATCAGCAGTCTATATGTGGCCTCACCTAACCCTGTCTGAGCTGACGGTGTCATCTAGGTTGTATTGGTATGCCAGTGCATTATCCTCTGTAGCAACCCATATGGTAGTGAAGATGGTAAATCAGTGCAGATCTGATAAGAAGAACTCACAAGGACCCAAGAAATGGGTCTTCTGAGCAGAAATTCCTCTAACCCAGATAAGAATTCAAGCAAGAAAAATTTTAGGGGATAAACACATTGTTCTTCTTATCAGAAATTCACCACATGCGAGATCGCCTTAAGGTGTCTGCACTCTGTATTGTTTCTCAAAACTGAACATGAACATGTGTGCTTCGAAAAGTCAAGGACCTTTCATGCCATTAGCGCATGCATTGAACACATAGTAAGTACTACAGGCACATTTTCACAGATGAATCAGCTCTCAATTGGTGATGTAATCAACATCATGCCAGTCACCTTTATTTCCCAGGACATTTTCTGGTACATCTGGGAGCAGGGGTAACTGTGTTTTAATTTATTAGTTTACATGAAATGATTTACCGTGGCTAGTTTTTCTGCTGTGTTTTTGAAAACACAAATTCTGATAGGCAACAATATCATGCCTGTTTTTCAACTCTGGTGCTGTTCTGTAGAAAGTCAAGGGATCCTGAATTTTGAGGGCTAACAGTCTTATTTTTTATTCCAGATTTCTAGCCTCAAATTAATCTTTACAGAACAGAGAAATTACCATTGTGAAGGAAATAAAAAATGATTCTTAAGGCAAAGAAAGATGGTTGTGAACAGAATTGACCATTTTACTTCAAAATGGTATATAACATCATTATACATGAAAAATCTCTACCTTATAAGAAGATATGTCACTTCTGATTATAGTAACTTGACTTCTTCTTTCTTTATTTCTGTATACCCTGTTCTGCCTGTCAGTGTTGGGTTTTGAAGAGGTATCTGGTGCAAGCCTTGCTGTGTGCTACTCTAGATGCTTGTATTCATGGACACAGCTATTCCATCTAGCTATTGCCTGTTGACTGGTTGATCTACAGCTCTATCAGGTGCATTATATTGAGGTAGTCTTGAAACATGTCTGCACTATTTGATCTGTTGCTGTAGTTTAGCACTGGTTCTGTCCCAACATTTGTTGCTGTTGTTGATACCATCTCTTCTTGTTTACATTTAAGATTCTTCAGAGATTTTTTTCTCCAGTGTGTTTAAATTTCAGTAATTTGACTGAATAGTTGATGCTGTACTTTTTGTAATGCAGCTGTAAGTCAGTGATTATATAATTCTTTTCTAGATATTTGTTACTCTAGTCATCCGACTTTTAACTCTTCCTGTCCCAGACAGTTATGATTGTAAACCCTTCCATCTGAAACAGTTATGATTGAAATCTCTTCCATCTGAGACAATAATGATTGTAATCCTGTCCATCTAAAACAGTTATGATTGAAATTCCTTCCATCTAAAACAGTTATGATTGAAATTCCTTCCCTTTCAGACAGTTGTGATTGCAAGTTATGATTGTAACTCCTTTTGGCCCAGCCACCTATGATTGTAATCCTTTGCTTTCCAGACAGGATAGTAACCCCTCTGATCCAGACTGTTGTATTTGGTTTAACAATATTTTGTTTTATATACACTAGTTTCGCTCTCCTACGATCTGCGTCCCCATATTATGGCGACCAAACAAATACCCTAACAGGGCCTCAGTCATATGTAAAATGCGGACTTCCTCCGACGAATACATCCCCGCAAAACTAGGATTACTATCCCTTGACAATTTTGAGAAACGCAACAATACACACGATAATGGCAAAATGGCGGGGAGACCATGTGCTCCAACGCAGGTTAACGATAGTCTTCTTCCGATTAAACTCACCGCTAAGCGTATCCCCGCGCTGCTATGTGCGGCACGGATGGGGTGCTCAACTAGATGTCTGGGACTCAAAGCAGCAGCTACCGCATCTCCTGCAACTTCCTCCGATTTATTTGCTCGTGGGTCTCAGCCATCTAGTTTAGCCCCCCATCCGCGACGCGTGTAGCGGCGCGGGTGATGCCGTCGGCGGTGCGGCATATTCGCAGAAACAGGTCCGCAATTAACATATCGCTGAGACCCTGTTATTTGTTTGCCCTCGATAATATTGGGCCGTTATTCGGAGGCAATCCTAGTTTTGCTGCGATTTGTTCCTTGGCAGGCACTTCACATTTTACACACGACTGAGGCCCTGTTAGGGTATTTGTTTGGCTGCTATAATATGGGGACGAAGTTTGGAGGAGAGCCCACTAGTTTTTCTATTATATGAAAACAAAACTCTAACAACCCTTACAGTAAACACAAATCATGAAGAATATTTCAGGGAGGGGTCTAATACTGGATGAAAGAAACAAACATGTTAGGGAAATTAGATAAACCCGAAAAGTAAAATATTAGTCGTCCCCACATTTGTATAATATCCACATATATTATTGACCTCGCTTGTGTTTAAGTTTAAGCTTATCAGATGTGGGCTGCTACTACCAGTGAATGCGGCAACATGCAGCAGATCTCTCAAACCACAATACACATGACCAATGGTCGCCAGGGGGGAAGAAAGTAATGACTACGGGTGTGACTCAGAAGACACTGAAATAGTTTCATTTATAAGCGCAGACGTCAATCGAAGAGAAATTCGTCCTTGATCCTCCGGCAAAGGCAAATGGCAAATGTCATTCCCATGACCTGGAAGTAAAAAGAGGAAAAACGTTTTAATGCCCTTGATTATGAAAAGAGCGAGCCTGCCTTCACAGATTGTTATATTTGCTATACAGATTATCCACACGCATGATTTTTTTTTTCTCTCTGACGTCATCATGGCAGCCATATTGTTTACAAACAGGAGTAGTGTGTTTAGTACAAGATGACAAGTCAGTGTCATCTCCGCAGCGATGTTTGTGCTGCTGGTTTGTCAATGGTCTGGTCTCTTGTTCACCTAAATTTGACTGCTTTTCCCTTCACTTAAGTTAAAATATACAGTGTTGTCATTAAACGTAGCTGGGGGAAAAAAAAAAAAACTACTCCTGTCTTTCCCCGTCCATTTTTTTTTCAGCTCTGCACACATATACATACACGTAATCGCTACACTCAGGTTGTGGAACAAGATTAAAGGTGACGAAACAACCAGAACTTTCCGCCAGTGACCGCGAGGTAGAAGGAGATATATGTTTTGTATAATTTGAATGGTTTTGCAATGACGTTTAACACAAACATCTTGCAACTCTGTAAAGACAAACAAGAAAGACAGACGTGGTTTGTTTGTGAATCTGGTAATCTGGTAATCCTAGTTTCAGCTTCATAGCAAACGGGTCACCCCATAGTTGCTCCGCTCCTGTGCCAATGAAAAACACACGTAGCTCAGTGTCACGCCATGCACTCAACTCAGAAGCTGGGTGAAGAAACTATAACTTTCCAGTCTACAAATGGAGCAAAAATGCAACTGCCACCGTCTAGCAGAAAATAAAAAAAAAAATTTGCCACGGCTAAAAAACAAACAAACAATATGTGGCCGTGCTTAGCGTCAATTTTTACCTGAAACAGTATATGAGGGTTAATAAACGGTCACCCCAGCAGTACCCTCATTATTAGCTGGGGAAGGGACTTAGGACATTACATCCACCAGCAGGCGTCGCCCCTACAACGACCTGTCTGCCTTCGTTAACGACTGTTCACCCAACAGGCATGCAGTTCTTTGGCACGAAGGAGACACCTTGAACTTGGGTTTCGGACTGCCGACTCCCTACAAGATGTTATTTTATGTTTAGTTATCACAATTGATGTCACTGCACATTGGGCATACCCATGCGTGCTAGGTTCTCTGAAGCAGCAGCTACTCCAAAGTACTTCTACTAATTGTCCCCATGAGAAGCTGGTTATATTGTCTCCTTTCTCGGCCTCGAAGACGGCAAAGACTTTCGTCACCATGATTAACTCCCATGTCACGCAATCGTGTTAGTGTCAGGGATTCCTCATTCTCCACTAGCCCAGTTCGTACAGCGTTGACGATATCTGCTCTGTTCATGCTCTGTTTGTGAATAGACATTGTTGTTCGCAATACAGTTCTTATAGTGTCGTTATTGGTTCTGTAAAGCTGATGCGGTTTTGATATAATTTCTTCCTATATTTTCATTTTTTTTTAAAGATCAGAAGTGTGTATGAAAATTACGCATACATGACAGTGTACACTATAAAAGTACTGTTTCCTCTCTATATGATAATACGTTTTGCCATTCCTGTTCTATTTTCCATTTTTGAAATTGACCTAGTACACACAGGAGTCCTGGGAAATAACTCTTAGTTCAGTTTGAAAAAAATTTTTTTTTTTTTTAAAGACAACCCAAATGAAACAATAATCACAGTGAAAACAGAATCAGTTTTACTGTCAAATCAGCAACATGCGATTACATTAAAATACAAGGCCAGCTTTTCAGACCAGATATGAATAAAATAATTAAACATAATTTGCTGCGCGATACACACAAAGACAATAGCTCATCACATAAAGTGCGTGTATTCTATCCATCTCTATCTATCTTCTTTTACCCCACCAGGACATCGCACAAGCGATAAACACCCGATGACACAAAGTACCACCATATGGATGAGGATCACCGTGGAGAGGTCTCAAAAACCGCCTTCAGCAATTAGACCATATTTATGGCCGGGCTATATTGCGGCCCCTGGCAGGAGCCAGAGTAGAGCTTCAAATAACGAAAAATTGCATCCCACAAAGGGATGACAGGGGTTTATGTGCGTTTCTTGGAACAGAGAGAGAGAGAGAGAGAGTTAAAGGTGGTCGACATGGTCTCACTGAGTGTCGATTGGTCTATAAATGGAGTGTCGACTGGTCTGTAAATGGAATGTCGACTGGTCTATAAACCATAGGGCTAGCCCCATAAGCTCCGTCACTACCATGAGTGAAAAGGGTCCTTCACCTTTACTGCAACAGAAAAATCTCGTTCATATGAATTCGTTTATGAAGAACACTCAGTTATCATGAACACAATTTTGGTCCCAGCAGGGATGTGACATTGATATTAGACACCTAATAGCACGTTTTATTAAAAAAAAAACATGAAATCGATTTTCGTTTTTGTGTGGGGAATTTGTGTTTACAAGGTTGTGTGTGTGTTGTTCATCAAGATGATGATTACCACTCTATTTTCATCACGTATGAGTAGGAAGATAACTGATGAGGCCGATGCGGGCCCGAAATGTTCTTGGACAGTGAGGACGGGGAATGAGTGTTGTGCCAGTGAGGGGATCTCCTGCAGTCGCTTTCTGTCCATCTTGCTGTTCTTTTTGCTTCACATGGAGTCGCGCCCTTGTGTAGAGTTGCACGCCTTGCATTTCGGTCTTGAAAGGCAGCCTCTTAATTAGTGTCATTAATCCCAAATGCTTTGAGTGAAAACTTCAAGGTGTCCTTAAAGCGTTCCTTTTATGAACATATATAAGATGGCGATGAAAGAGTGACTTGCGCGGTGACTTGGATTAAATTAAAGTGAGGAAGAGTTGCGCAGAGTCGTCACGATCTCGCCTGAGTCATATTTGGGGTCCAGTGGCAAGACAGAGTCAGGACGACTGGAGATGTGTCTAGGATGTACTGTATTCACGAACGGAGGGAGTTACTGAATTCATTCCCCCCCCCCCCCCTAAAGTAATATAACCGTTAAGATAATGACATTATTGTGTTTTAAATAAATGTCGATTTCAGAACTTCTTCTTCTTCTTCTTCTGCGTTCGACATCAGTCATGCTACACATTGAGTGATTTCAGAACTTGAATAACTGTATATCTGTACTTGTATAAATGTAGATTTTGTAATTGACATGGGAAAAAAGGGGGTTGGGGGGGGGGGGAGGGGGTAGTTGAAAAGACCATCTGCAATGTTTTCTTTGTTTGGCGCCTCGGACAGTAATAGTAGTGTTACCAGCACATTTGTTATGTAATTGATGCTGTTTCCTTTGCGCTCCCGGTGACTGTGAAGTGCATATTGTGCTGTGTCTACTCACCATAAGGACTGATATACCAGCAGCCAGGCCAGCAAATATTCTTACATTGTCAGTGAGGAAGTCAATGACCGCAGTGTAGCAACCCTGGACAAATAAACAGGTGCAGGACATTCAATGAGAGCTAGAAATATTATCAACACTACGTCCAGGTATCTGTCTGTCTGTCTGGTCTGGTCTGTCTGGTCTGGTCTGGTCTGGTCTGTCTGTCTGTCTGTCTGTCTGTCTGTCTGTCTGTCTGTCTGTCTGTCTGTCTGTCTGTCTGTCTGTCTGTCTGTCTGTCTGTCTGTCTGTCTGTCTGTCTGTCTGTCTGTCTGTCTGTCTGTCTGTCTGTCTGTCTGTCTGTCTGTCTGTCTGTCTGTCTGTCTGTCTGTCTGTCTGTCTGTCTGTCTGTCTGTCTGTCTGTCTGTCTGTCTGTCTGTCTGTCTGTCTGTCTGTCTGTCTGTCTGTCTGTCTGTCTGTCTGTCTGTCTGTCTGTCTGTCTGTCTGTCTGTCTGTCTGTCTGTCTGTCTGTCTGTCTGTCTGTCTGTCTGTCTGTCTGTCTGTCTGTCTGTCTGTCTGTCTGTCTGTCTGTCTGTCTGTCTGTCTGTCTGTCTGTCTGGTCTGTCTGTCTGTCTGGTCTGTCTGTCTGGTCTGTCTGGTCTGGTCTGTCTGTCTGGTCTGTCTGGTCTGGTCTGTCTGGTCTGGTCTGTCTGGTCTGGTCTGTCTGGTCTGTCTGGTCTGTCTGTCTGGTCTGTCTGTCTTCTGTCTGTCTGTCTGTTTGTCTTGTCTGTCTGGTCTGTCTGGTCTGTCTGTCTGTCTGGTCTGTCTGGTCTGTCTGTCTGGTCTGTCTGTCTGGTCTGTCTGGTCTGTCTGTCTGGTCTGTCTGGTCTGTCTGTCTGGTCTGTCTGGTCTGTCTGTCTGGTCTGTCTGGTCTGTCTGGTCTGTCTGTCTGTGTGATCTGTCTGTGTGTCTGGTCTGTCTGTCTGTCTGTCTGTCTGTCTGTCTGTCTGTCTGTCTGTCTGTCTGTCTGTCTGTCTGTCTGTCTGTCTGTCTGTCTGTCTGTCTGTCTGTCTGTCTGTCTGTCTGTCTGTCTGTCTGTCTGTCTGTCTGGTCTGTCTGTCTGGTCTGTCTGTCTGGTCTGTCTGTCTGTCTGTCTGGTCTGTCTGTCTGGTCTGTCTGGTCTGTCTGTGTGATCTGTCTGTGTGTCTGGTCTGTCTGCTGGTCTGTCTGTCTGGTCTGGTCTGTCTGTCTGTTTGTCTTGTCTGTCTGTCTGGTCTGTCTGTCTGGTCTGTCTGTCTGGTCTGTCTGTCTGTCTGGTCTGTCTGTCTGGTCTGGTCTGGTCTGTCTGTCTGGTCTGTCCTGTCTGGTCTGTCCTGTCTGTCTGGTCTGTCTGTGTGATCTGTCTGTGTGTCTGGTCTGTCTGCTGGTCTGTCAGTCTGTCTGTCTGGTCTGGTCTGGTCTGTCTGTCTGTCTGGTCTGTCTGGTCTGGTCTGTCTGGTCTGGTCTGTCTGTCTGTCTGTCTGGTCTGGTCTGGTCTGTCTGGTCTGTCTGTCTGTCTGTCTCTCCCCCTTTCTCATTTTCTTCGTTTCTCTCTCTCTCTCTCTCTCTCTCTCTCTCTCTCTCTCTCTCTCCCTCTCTCCCTCATACATACATATATGGAAATACATTCTTAGAGCTAACTGCTGCTTGACCAGCTTTAAAACCGCCTGACACAGCCATGCATTGGTACAATCTGACTGCTGATACAAACCACTAGTTATCTGTTACAACACATACCAGTCTGAACATGTTAACTACCAGCATACGAATGACAGCATTTCTGCTGTCCATCGTTTCACACACTACTTAAATATAAAAAAGTCAGTAGAAATGTGTGAGGGGGCTGCGTCGTTTCGAGGCATGGTGTCCGCCTCGAGTTTTGGAGGTCCCGGGTTGGCTAGGATTTTTTTTACGTGGACTTCTAGTTATTTCCCCTGGTCTCTGGATAGTAAGTGTTTGTTTTAGTATCAAGAAGCCATGAGTTGTTAACCATTAGGCTCGGTATTATGGATAACGCAACCTTTCGGCCTTGATTCCATTATAACTACCGTAAATCTGGGAGAAATGTGGCTTTTATGCCTACCCCTCGGGAGTGAACCCGGACCACAAGGAGTTCGTCACTTGATCACCGCGCAATCCGGTTTAGCCAACTACGCTAGAGAGCCAGGCCTGGGTAGTAAGTAAGTTTGTTTATTCAAAGGATCAACATCATGGCACAGGGGAAGTAACCCATAAAAGCTCTGTTCGTCTTCTAACTAAAGTCTGAGTCCGAAGAAGCAGCAGCACAGTGCACTTGCTCTAAGCACCGGCGAGGATTCTGAAATACTTTGGGAACATTCATAGCTCCAAATTTTGCCCGGGCAGCGCCGTTAGGCTACTCTTTTCTATTTCCAACTGCCAAGGTATTTTTTTCCCACATGCGCAACAATGCACACGGGCGTCCGATATCACTACCCAGAGTCCAGGGGGAATTAATAGAAGTCCAAGTCCACGTGAAAAAATACCAGCACTTACTGGGGATATAACCCGTAACCTCTATCACTCGAAGCGGACACCATGCCTCCAGATAACGCAGGCCCCCGAGGGAGAAAACCGATATCTTTTAAGTGCTTAGGGCATCCATCGTATGGTCTAAATCTGGTCCTGATTGTAAGCAACATCTATTGTATACAAAACCAAAGCAAACCTCTGCAGAAATAGTGCCATTTTCTGAAACTCGACAAAATATGACTAGAATAAAACATCAGAATCTAAATTCTGACTTACGTTTGTGAATAGAATGTCGTTTTCTTGGTTGTAGGTGATTGGTGGTAGCACGGCGGGTATAATATTGTCAAAGCCTTGTCCACCAACACACTTGGTTCTGTTCAGTCCGTAGACGTTTTTACAGCAGCTGTCTGGGACGTACTCTTTTATACTGGCTGTGGAGTTGAAAAAACACACATTTACGGACGCACGAACATGATTTTTTTGACGCTGATGATGATGATGATAGTGATGTTACTATGTATGATGATAATAAAGAGAAGGATCCACGATTGCCAACTTATGCATCATATAAAAAGGACTAAATTCTATACCGAGGCAGCACTGTGTGTGTGTGTGTGTGTGTGTATGCTTGCCTGTCTGTCTGTTTGTCTGCTTGTCTGTAGGCCTGTCTGTATAAAAATTAATACAGTTTGCATCATCGTCCTCTACCATTCTTCATTAACTCAAAAATTCTTCATCTGTCTCATTAATCCATTAATGTAACTCATGCTATCATTTACACATCCTAATTGCCTGTTTAATCTCAGCCCACTTCTACGACCTTACATCAACGTGAAACAAGGGCTTTGTCTGAATCAGATTTTGTCATGTTGACGCAGTCATTTCATTCCGTGTAACATCTCCACTTTCTGAAGCTTTAACTTTCTCAACCCAGCTACCAAGGGTAATACTATCGACTGCACAATTCCTATACACGCAGGATGACCATAATGTCTTGAGCTGAAAACGGGACATCCTACTACTATTTTGAGTTGAAAACGAGACATCCTACTAATATTTTGAGCTGAAAATGGGACATTATAAGCCATTCAGTTTTAAGCCTTCCCCTCCCTCTTTATTTTATTTTCAAACTCACTGGGGTAACAGGTTTAATTACTTTCTCGACAATGGTGTTAAAACCCAAACCATTATCGCTAAGAAATAAACAAAAGAATATGCTCTGTAACTGCACTGAAAAAAAAAAATATACTAAAATGAGAATTCATATCAACACATTTCAGGCATTAAATGTTTATAAAAACTATAAAATCATCTAACTCCTACATTTGTACGAAAGGGACAATTGGCGTTTTATCGGAGTATCGACGAGACGACAGGGATAGGCACCCAGCGAAACCCATATATATATGACATATACAGGTTTATGAATGTACACCACAGTTTCGTCATCCGTAGACATATTTTATATAATAATTCGTGGTTTGTTATGTGACAGAACGCCAAAGACCGTTGTTCAGCAGCTCGACTTGCACATGCGAAGAAACCTGGCCACTGTGTATAAGAAAGCCAACTCACCCCAAACCGGTCTCATTTTAGCTTTCGGACTGAACGCAGTCTATAGGGGCAGAAGACCCACCCAGCTGTTGTGGCTCGGCACATTGGGCTAAACAGCGTGGGTACCAGCGATTGAGGGGAATGACCGGTTGCCTGGCTGATTTCGGTGGTATGTCTCCATAGTTAAATCTGAATTTGTCTCTAGTATTTAAACTGTGTGGGTAGATTTACCAGTGTGTATCCTCGCTCGGGGAAGTCGCCGTGGCCGAGCGGCTAGACGCTCGCCGCGGATCGGAAGGTCGTGGGTTCGCTCCCTGGCGGAGCTGGACTTATTTCAAAAATGACCATGGCTCCCAGGTCGACCCAGCCTTGAGTGGGTACCGCGTGCAGTCTAGAGAAAGTAAAGGCGGCCGGCGTCATGCTGACCACATCACCCATCTTGTGCCGATTGGTCTATAAAAATATAGGTCTAGCCCTATATGCCCTATACGCATAAAGGCGTGGAAAAAGGGTCCTTTACTTTTTTTTTACTTATCCTCGCTCGGAGATAGTTTCATTGCAAGTCGCTTTAAGCAATTTGCTGGTCTGGTGACATATTGAAGCTTAACGTACATGTTAATATGTTTTGTTTTTTGCCATTGTTGAGGTAATTTTTCTGAGCGGAAGCTTTCGTTATCATATTTCATTGTTAGCTGGAGATGATTAGCACTTTAATAGTGATCGAGCACGTGGGCTGTTGTTAATGTATTATCTGTGAAGTATACGTTAATTTTAAGTCCAGTTCAGTAAAATAAACAGCTGTTTAATGTGATGATTATAATTCATTTGCTTGAATTAATTTAAGATCTGTAGTCCACGCACGTGGTTCGTCTATGTGTGTAAAGCCATCTTGTGTGTTAGTAATATAGAGTTTCTCAGATATCCCTTGTCAGGGTCTTGGTAGAATATTCTAGGACCCCTGCAGAGACGAACCCCCTGTCTTCTCTCTACTTTTCCACGTTTTTGTTGTTCAGCGTGGAACTATTTCTTTTTGTCCTAATCACAATTTTCTTTATCTTCCCTACTTCAGTGTTTTTCTTGTTCTTTCTTCCCCGCTAGCACAGTAACACAATTTGCCATTTTAACGGATTAGTTCAGTGGTTGTTTTTGTCAAAGAATTGCAATTTCGTATAGTACAACACCAGCATTTCAAACTCAAAAGTGTGAACATTTTCATATATCTTCATTATTCGCTAAGGAAGATTAGGGGTCGCTACTTTCTTTCGTATTTCACAAATATTAGCAATGACGTCACACACGTAAGAAAATTGAAAGGTTGTATAATTTCGGGTGTATTTATTCTTCTCTATAATGACAGATCTGATCTTCACAAATAGACACGACTCACATGCTTTTAGGAGGTTAGCCAAGAGAAAAGGTTGCCATACAAAAACAACGTTACATTAAAGAATGTTAAGAAAACAGTAGAGAAGCAGTGATAAGATAACCGGGATAAACACAGTACAGCAAAAAATACTAAAATCTTGGGTGGTTAGTTTTACATTCGTCATCATCATCATCATCATGATCGTTATCACCCTGTCGTGCCGAGATAAGTACTTTCAATATCCCGAATGCAACCCAGTCCAGCAACTTTGGCCTCCGTGTTTCATTTTGCTGTTCTGATATCTGTTTCGTCGTACTTCATTCCTGTTATCTTATTTATTTCAGATATAATGTTGTTTGTTGTTTACATTCACCTGCTGCAAGCTCCAGCGGAAAGACCTGGTTGTACGTCCATTTCTGGACTTTGGTTTAATTCTAGGACCTGAGTTTTGCAAGTGCATCCACTTTTACAGATCTTTCTTATTTGTATGCAGACAGTTGGTTCCTTGTCTCTCAGGCTGATGTAGTCCGACCTTGAAATAAGCCCCTAATTAGTCAACTCTTACGACATACTTGTCGGGGAGGCAGTGGGTCTATTCTTGTTTCTCCACAATGGGGCCCCGGAATCCACACGGGGAATCTTTTGAAGTAAAACACGCTTTTCCACGGCTTTAGTCGTATTGGGCACATAGGGCTAGACCTATATTTTATAGACACTTGGTGGGTGACGTGGTCATCATCACCCCGACCTTTTTCCCCAAGACTTCATCCGGTACCAATTTAGGGCTGGGTCGACCTGGAAACCGTCGTTGAATTAAAAAAAAAAAAGTCAAGCTCCATCAGGACCTGAATCCACGACCTTGTCTAGCCCCTGTAACCACAACGGCTGCCCATTTGTTTAATATATGAGTGTCAACAAAAGTGGATAGTGACTTCGACAATTTTGTTGTTGTTGCTTTTAACAAGTGTACACATAGACGCTGAAGTATTTGGGTATTATTCTGCAGTGGCCAGTACAAAATCAGACATTCCATTTTACGTCAACGGATTTGGATGAAGGAGTGTACTTCTACTTCTTCTTCATCTTCTTTTGTAGTCTCACTTATACCATGTTGTAGCCCAGTGTCGTAGTTTTGTCGTCTCACTGATAACAGGTTGTAGCCCAGTGTCGTGGTTTTGTCGTCTCACTGATATAAGGCTGTAGCCCAGTGTCGTGGTTTTGTCATTTCACTGATATCAGGTTGTAGCCCAGTGTCGTGGTTTTGTCGTCTTACTGATACCAGGCTGTAGCCCAGTGTCATGGGTTTGTCGTTTCACTGATATCAGGGTGTAGCCCAGTGTCATGGGTTTGCCGTCACACTGATACCAGGTAGTAGTCCAGTGTCGTGGTTTTGTCGTTTCACTGATACTAGTTTGTAGCCCAGTGTCATGGGTTTGTCGTCTCACTGATACTAGTTTGTAGCCCAGTGTCACGGTTTTGTCGTCTCACTGATACTAGGTTTTAAGCCTAGTGTCTTTGTTTTTCTGTATTTGTCTTGCGCTTCTCGGGTGGCTTGAGAGGTGGATTTGTTCATCTTTTTGCCGGTTTCAGATACACCATTTATCCAAATATTTCTTGGTCATCCTCTCGCCTTTCTCCCTGATGTTCTACTGTGAAGTCGTATATGCAGCCTTGTCTGGCTGCATTCTCACCAGATGGTCGAACCATTTCATTCACTGCCTTTGTGTACTGAGGGAAGTTAATGTACTAGCCTTTTCACAGGACGAGAAAATGCAAGGTTGAAATAAAATATTCTGGCATGACAGACTCGATCTTTGGACATTGTTTTCAGTATTTGGTCAAGGCGGGAAGTCCCAACAGAGGGACACAGAACTGCGCTGTTGATTCAACAGCTTCTGCAGTATGATATGTCCCATACTTCTACCGTTACTTTTCCTTTGGTGTAGACTGTAAACGAAGCAGACCGAAAGGGCATCGCGCTGTATGAGAGGGAGTAACAATGATATCTGAAGGAATGTGGAGAAAGCACAGTGTGTCTTGTAGATACACGTCAGCTTCAATTAAGCACACTTATTTGAACTAATGCGTATGCTCTGAAGTTAGGAATGCCAATTACAAGAGAAACAAATTATTTGTGGCATAAGAGTATGTATTGCAGACGAGAATAAATGAGGGGAAAATAGTGTTTCTGTAAAGTATTAGAGACATTGTATTCCTCCTAATTTTTGGGGATGGATAAAAGGATCGGGGATATGAAAACTGTAAATATGTATGGACAGAGAGACATAAGAAAATACGGTAGAAAAATATCCTTAAAGCCTCTAGTCAATGCATGTAGAGGTGTCAGCACACGAACTGATGCAAGCTATTAGAGATAGCAAGAAGCAAAGTAGCATTCATGCTAATTGGCATGAGTAGTTGGCAGGCCCTGATCGTAGAAGGAAAATTGTTGTATGTCGTTTTCTGTTGAGTCTGCTGATGGGGTGTTGTGGATGTTTACTGTTAGTTTGT